GTAAATTATATACAAATATAGAAAACTAAATTTAAAAGTACAAAATAAAATAAAATAAAATAAAATAGGAATAAAAGATTAAATATTAAAAATTAAATAATACAATTTAGAATATGCTTTAAAATTGATTAAATAATCCCAAAATAAATTCACAATAAATTCCCAATAGGCTTAGTCATATTGTTTATAAGTCTATCACAACATTGTTAATAATTTTTTTTGTTTTCTTATAAGCCCAACTGTACCACCAATTGTTACTAATTAACAAGCACATTTGATCATGTGCTTTTTTTCCCACCCTATGGAACTTTGATAAAATGGGATTTTCATTTAATGAAGTTTCTGACTGCACTGACTTCTGTTCAATTGGAATATCATCAAGTACTACAATCTGATATTCCTGTGAATCTATTAAATTGTTCTCTTTTAGGTATTGTTTATCCTGTCTTAGATGTTTAGAATTTTGATGTGAGGATTTGTAATAGCGATCCATATTTTCAGATCTATTCAGTTTATCTTTTCTTCTAATATTTCTTGCCTTTTCCCATGCCACAGTAGCATTACATCTTGGTAGCCAAATTAATTCTTTAAAATGAATAATACATGAGTCTAAGAGGGAGGCCAGAAGTAAAATGTTTTTTGATTCTGATAATCCAAATGTCTGTTTTGAAATTTTGGAAAAATTAGTGTTAATCTTAGCTTCTAAAGCCAGTAAACAGAAGTCAGTGAACTTATTGTTATCATGTTGTGATCCTAGTATTTGATTTAATTTTTCACTTATAATCTTGGATGAGTTCTCTGGCGAATCATTTAATTTTTGAATTATAGGAACTAAATCATCTTGCATTTTGTTTTTAATTATAGGCCATAGTTTCTTATTAGCATCACATTCAATAAAATGATATCTGCTTTCTTCTTTGTTAGCATTACATCTTGGACAAACAAAATCCTTGTATATATTTGGCTTTTTTTGGAGTAGGATAGTACCTATAGGAAGAAGTTTAGCAAATAATTTAGTAATAAATATTAGATGCCAATACTTTTTAACTGAAATACAGTTGAATCCTTTGTATCTATAAATTAAATTCCAAGTTATGTTCCAGTTAATTGGTGTTTCATATTCATTTGTTTTAAGTATTGACCATTCTGCTGCCACTCTAGTATTCATAAGGGTCTTAATAAACTTCCTTAAATTATATTCAATTGGTATTTGTTTGAAAATTGGAAAAAATCTAACTGTTCTATTACTATAATTAAATCTGTTGTTGAAATAATGGTTGCTATTGCCTGTGCTCTTGGCTAATTCATCTGCCATTTCATTCATAGCATCTCCACTATGTCCTTTAACTTTCTCTAATATCAGTTCCATCTTTTTTTCTTGTAAAAGAATGTTAATTTTAAGTAGGATTAAGGAATTTGTCTGCTTCAATAATTTCCTGCCCGATTTATTATGATGATTATTGATCATGCAAATGGCATTTTGACTATCTGTGTAGATCTTGATTATTGCATTCATTGGGGCTGTGAGTAGTGCCATAAAAATTGCCACCAATTCCGATCTTGTGGATGAAGGCCATAGCGATAAATTTGCTTGGACTGATAGGTGTGGTTTATTATTGACACAAAATGCTGCATCCATATTTGTATACACTAAGTTGGGATTTTGTTTACCCATTGTTATGGGAGTGCTTGGTGTGAGTGATCCATCTGTGTAGTATTCTACCAATGATCTCTCTGCCAGTATATTTCTAATATCCATTAATCGCGATTTCAGTTTGTCATCTTATATCCACCTATGAATCCATATGTCTTGAACCGATGGTAAGATGATTATGGGATCTAGTGCTGATGATGGTAGATTATTGTTGGGTATTGATGCGTCCAATTGGTTTGAATTTATCCATTCATAAGGGAAATTCCATCCCTGTTTATTAGGGACTTTATCTAATATTGCCACATTGCAACATTCAGCCGTAATAGATCTTCCCATGTTCTGCCATTTAATGATTCCATTATCATTGTATCCTGGACGATAGTTCACTAAAATCCCTTTTTTATGGCAGCGTATTTTATTAACTTTACCTATTGTCCATATATCTGATTCCGCCGATGATTCCCGTATAAAAATAGCTTGTTTTCGGCGTGCATCTGGTATGATATCTTGTAAAAAGGGCCAATGGTTAACTTTGGTAATCTCCAGTTCATTTGATACTGTTAGATTATCTATTCTGGATGTGCATAAATGAGCCACATCACGGTACCATCTAGCTGTTCTTCCTTGTACCGGAAGTAATGCTAATCTACGGTATTGTTTCCATGTCATAAGATATGTTCCCCTAATAAATAATTGATCAATGTAAAATATTGGGTAATGTGCGCTTTGGTTGATTCTATATATGTATTTCGTAAGCTGAAACTGTTTAAAAAATTTCAGTATTGGCTCTTTCCCTCCTGTAATGCTCCAATTTGATTTGTCAATCGGATCTACTGCCATTGACATATCAAGCGTTTTTGTTATTACCAAAGCATTAAATGAAACATTTTTCCGAGTTTGTGATTTTATCCAGTGCATTACATTAAGATCACAGTCAAAAATCGGATCAGTAATGAGTGATTTAAGCTGCGCGTCCCTAAGTCTGATTTGTGTTGATGTCGCTGCGTGTGAATCACTATTTAATCTAATCGTTAGATCCGTTATATTGTTAATGCAATAGTGTTTTCATGGATGGTCCATACCGAATCCCCCTTCATGAAATAATAACGATGATGGTGTATTTTTAGATAGTTTCAACCAGTTTTTTACTAATTTCATTATCGGGGTGAATACTTGGTTCCAATCATGTTCTGTCAATATCATGATTTGAGCTATATATATTAATCTGGGTATCAACACTCTATTAATTAAATATATACATTGGCCCACTGGAACAAATTTCCTTCAGACTGTATTACAAAATTCATTGACTATCGTAGACAGACGTTGCATCCATCGTCGTCTGCTTGGTTTGTTAGAAAACCAAACACCGAGATATCTTATTTCATCATTCGTGGCTTGAACTATTGAACGGTCCCTACCCAGTTCTATGTTTTGTTCTTGCTTTTCCACTGTCGGATTGATAATTATCAGCTCTGACTTTTTGGCGTTGATATCAATGTCATTAATCAAGTAAAACTCATTCGCTATATCCACTATCTCTTGCATCCTATACTTTGACGATTCTAGAAATATCGTATCATCCATGTATGCACATATGGGGACCTGGAGTTTGTACTGTGTTCACGTGTTAGGATCATTTATATCGTTCGGCCAAATAAGTTTCATTTCATATCCGCTGTTTTTGGTTTGTTGTATTGCTACCAAAAGCGGGTCATAAAAAATTTGCCAAAGTAACGGTGAAAGCACGTCACCTGGTCTATCCCGTCATTTCTAATGAATCCGTCACTTAATCCATAAGCTGTAGCTATTCTAAGGGATCTATAATCGAAAAGGGCTATAATCCATTCAGCCATTGTTGCCAGGATGTCAATACGAAGCAAAGCTCGCTTCAGAACATCTAATCCCACAGAATCGAATGCTTTTTTCATATCCTGTGTAAAGACCTATAATTCCTTTTTGTTCTCCCTGGCGTTTTCAATAAAATTGTTAACTAAGTGTATCGGTTCATTTGTGCATTCTCCGGGTAAACCACAACAGTTGTATTCCTGTAGTACGCTGTGTTGTTTCAAGATGGAACTCAACCTGTTCGTGATCATCTTTGTTATAGTTTTCTAAAAACAATCTAATAAAGCAATAGGTCGAGTGTTCATTATGTTGTATTCAAAATTGGTGGGTTTGGGTATGGGGAGAATAACCGATGTTTTCCATGCCATAGGTATTAGTCCAGTTTGTAGTGTAAGGTTTCTGAATCTGATCAATAGGAGAATTAATTCTTCGGGTAGTTGTTTAATGATTTTGTAATTTATACCGGACAACCCTGCAGCTGATTTTTTGTTCAGTCTATAACTGTGTTGTTCCATTCTTCTATTGTGATCTTTTCTGCTATAGATTCCATTACTTCTTTGAATTTACCCATGGGTTCATAAATATGTTGCCATTGTTTTAAATAAATATTATAAATCTTTAAAATATATATTTTATAAGTATTTTTACCTGTTCTATAACTTTTAATACTTATATAAGACTTATGGATATATTGTAAAGAAAGAGAATGTATTATACTAAGATAAATTATTTTAAATATATCCTACCCTTTAAATAAAAATATTTATCTGACAGTATATACATGAAATACTTTCTTGTATAATGAATAGTTTAATAATCAATAATATTAGGATTTTATTATAATTTCTTTTATTTTAAATATTTAGATTAACTATATAGTCAACTCTTGTTATAACAAACCCTAGATTCCAGATCTCAACTTCGCTATAAAGCTATAATGAAGATTTTAAGAGATTTGATTGGTTAATTCGTTATAGTAAGGGAAATTTATTATAGTTGTCTGAAAAATTCACTATATCAAGGTTTGACTGTATAGTATTTTTAATTTTAATAAACTATCAAATGTGTTGTATAAGAAGATTTAAAATATTAATTTTAACTTTATATATGATATTATAAAATCTATAAGAAAAATGCTGAAAACAAATTATAATTTATAAAATATACAATTTCTATAATTGAACAATAAAATTTATAATAGAAGAATACATCATTACAAAATATTTATATATAAATTTTAAATCCAATAATAAATATTTACTTATGGAAATTTTTTTATTTATTTAAATCATCAAAAACAGACTTACATTTTAGAAATATTTAAAATTTTTTTTAAAAAAATAAGAAAATATTGTAAAAAAATCAATTTTATAAAATAGTATATTAATAGTTTTTTATAAAGATGTTAAAAAATTTTGAATTACAGCTATAAGATTTTTATAGCCTTAATTAATTATGGCATATAAAAATTTTATGTTATGGTAACGGCTAACATCTTTAGTTTTTTAATTAATTTTTAGTTTAATTTTACTGCATTAAGATTTGCAGTCTAGTTTTACAAAGCCAATTAGAATTAGTTTAAACTAAATTAAATAAAACCAAATAGGACTATTGATTATCTTTATACTTGAAATTAGAAAAAATCTATAAACTATTAATGAAAGATATTGTAACTAAAGAAAGAAAAATTAAAGATTTTATAATTTTAAAAGTAAGATACAAGTAAATAAAAACAGTATAGGATATATAAAAATCAAAAGTAATATTATTATTATACTAAGCAGAAAAGTAAGAAATCCAAATGTAATAATACTGAAATTTAAAAAGTTTAAAAATAAATTTTTTGCAAAAGTTTATGACCTAAAGCTTTAAAAAATAAATCAATAATATTTTTAAAAATGAATTTGAATTAAATCATATACATTTGACATGTTTAACAAATTTTGTAAAGAAAGATAAAAGATTGTTTAACCTATATATTAGATTTAAAATTAACAAACTAAATTTATTATAAAAATATAAAAATTAAAATTTACTAAAACTTTATTATTATAATATATAAATTTTACTAACTAATACATTTATTTAAAACTTTCTTTATTATAATTAAATAAAATTCTTCTTTATTGAAATAGTTCATAAATAATAAATGTAATATTTTAATTGGTATATAATTACTATTAATATTAAAAATTCTTCTGATTTTTTAAATTTACCTATAATTTCATTAATTTCTAATTTTATGTTTGAAAATGCAATTTATATATAATTAAAAATTAATTCTTTTATTTAATATATTATCTAATATCTATGGATTTAAAATACTTTTTAATAGTAAAAAACCATAATAATGTATTTTAATACAAGTCCAATTATACGATTTTAATTATACTAATTGATCCTGTAATTTCTTTTCTTAAACGTATAATTTAAATATAAACTTAATCAATCTAAATTCAATATTTTACATATTTAAACAAATTTCATTAAGCCAATATTTGGATATTAGTTTATTCAATTTTTTAAATCAATATAATCATTGGTTTCTATTCCATTAAATTGTAGATATAATAAATTTAAATGTAGATGATAAAAAGTAATTAAATTTTTTCAAATTTGTTAGAACTTTTCATACTTAAAATTAGAAATACTTTTTTTTTGGTATCAATTGTTATGAAAAAGGTTGTTATTTTAAAGTCTATTATATTGTTATATTGAAAAATAATACTAAAATTATTTATAAGCTATATGTTTCAGCCCAGTTTTAACTAAAAGCTTTCATTTTCTAAACATATTTCTTCAATCTATTCTTTTTACAAAGGTGGTTTGTTTGCTGTCAATTTTTTAATCAATTTTGTACGTTAAAACAAATTTATTCAATATTAACCCGATGATGTAATGCTTTACGGATGAATGATAATTTGTAGTGTAACATATTCGAACTTTTTTTTTCCCCCAAAACTTTTGTAAAAAGAATGAATGTATTAACTCGTTCTGAAGAAGAAATTTTATTTAATCAACTTAAGCACAATGCAAGAATAAATTGTGCTCCATTAATTCAAGGTATTTTTTTTTTTTTCGAAAAAAAATGTATTTTTTATATTTTATCGATATAATTATTTATTTTTTCTATTATAAAAGAATTCGTTGATTGTAATACAGGAAAGTCTTTTTCAGTCATATGGTCTTGTAGACGTCAGTTAAAAGCTATGAATAATTGTTTAAAGAATTTGTAAGTCTTTTTTTACATTTCTCTCGTTTCAATTAAAAAGTATTAACCATCATTATTTTAGTACTACAACGGAAGAATTAGATAAACTGAGGTTAGAGTATATCAAACAAAAAAGGTTAAATGATAAAAACAAATCAAAGTAATTGGTGCTTAAGAGAAACAAATGATTGTTAAAATTTCAGATCCAGGCAGTTTACTAGCGTTAAAATTAACAGAAAGCTATGAATTATATTCTTTTTAAAATTATTTAAATAGATAAATGAAAGATTAAACTAGTATAATACCAAAAAAAAACTAAAAAATAAAATAAAATAAAATAAAATATAAAGTAAATAAATAAATGAAATAAATAGAATAATATATGTGGATATTAGACCTGCTAAAATGCAAACGATAAAAAAGGATTCAACTTAAATGCATCAATAATTCAACATCATTATTCATACGATTATGTAAATTTAATCAAGCTATCTAGGCATATGCGTCACTTCTAATTTTTCAAAATGTTTTCTCGCGACATTGATATTCATTTGGGTTGCCGCAGACTCTGAATATAATTTAATATATTAGAAAAAAAATTTTATGATAATAGAAAAAATTTTTCCTTTATAACACATACCGACAGATGAATCAGACATGATAACCATGACATAAGTATTAGCGGTTAAAACATCAAAGAACGCAGCAAAATTTGCCTGTCGAATCTCCATGCTTTTAAATTGAGCTTGAAATTTACTATATAAACAAAAGAATTATTAGATGTACTAATGAATATTTAATATTCTTATTGTGATTACTCACCTGCAACTTAGTTTAAACTGTTTCATATAATTACTAATTTTTTCAAATCTATGGATATCTGAACATTCAATTCTAGATGAATGAGAAATCACTAAAAATGTAGTTCGTTCAAATAACATAACCTCATCCGCTTCACATATAGTGGCAAAGTTTTGAAGTTGTGACTCAAGCTCTCTCACATTTGGAATTAAAGAATGTACTATTGAAGACCATGCCTATAGTGAAAGAAAAAATAAAATGTAAATAATGTTTATTTATTAATAAAATGTGTTCAACTTACTTTGTAAAGGGTCTCATCCCATATGGACGTAGCGAAAGCTGTAATTTTTAGAGGCTCTGATCGTTTTTCTAATTCATGTAATCGTTCATCAAATATCTAAATAAATTAAATTAGCGATTATTCCATAAAAGAGTAATCATTTTAATTTGCTTCACTCACTGCAGTTCTCAATTCTTCTTGTACTAAATCCATCTTATGTATCAAACAAAAGATCTTTGCATCCTTTGAATTTGCCAATATTGCTTCAAGACAATCCTGGTAATAATGCATATCTTTTTCTATTTCGCGCGATTCCACATCAAATACATAAATAAGCACTTCTACATTACGAAAAATATGATCTCGTTGAGCCGCAAAATAATTTTCCATAAATGTTTCTTGACTTCAAAAAAAGTACCATGTCAATATAATAACTGAATAAACTATAGAATAAATAATGTTGCAAGATATGAAAGTAGGTTAGTTATAACGGTTAATATTAATAAACATACCCTCCACAGTCCCAAAGGTTTAGAACCAAGTTACCAAGAAAACGTACACGAGAATTCTCGACATCGACTATCGGTTGGTAATAAATAAGTTTAGTTAAAAAAAATAAACCTTTTTAAACGAAAAAAAATTTGTAGTTTTACTCAACTTGTTGCACCCAACCGCCGAGTATCTCTTGCGACATAGTTATGGAAAATAATACTACGCATAGAGGTCTTACCAGACCCACTTTTTCCCATTAAAAGTACCTATTGGTTCGAAAGAAGTAATTTTTTCATTTTATTTGTCGCATTTTTTTAAAGACAAAAATTATAGTGTTTATTGAATAATAAAATTAAATTAAATCTCTTCGAACCTTTTTGTTCATTATTATTTTGTCTTTGTTAAAGAGAAATAGATCAAAGATAAAAAGATAAACACACTAGATTGATAGTCTTTTTTGGTCAGTGTCGATTTGCATATTAATAATAATCTCTGTTTAGAAACGATATGTAATTATGCATAATGCCAGGCGTAACGAGCCATTATTTAATTATGCGCAGCCATAAAATGCTGCGCAACTGTGCATAATTGAAATGAAAAAATATAAAAATCAAACTACTAAATCAGTAAAAAATTTCAAAAATTTCAAATAATGGATAAAGAATTATTTGGCGGTAGCATTTCTATGTATATTCCACCTTCTTTTGAAGATATTAGGTAAAAATATTTATTTTATTTTTTTTTATTTTCATTCGATTCGACTAATATATTATCATCTTTAAATAGTAATGTGAGAAATGTGCCAGATAATCAAGAAGTCTTCGCAGATGTGAACACAGATCAAAGTATTATTGTTGAAATATTAGAATTTGTTAAACAAGTTGCAAATGAAGATGCTGCAAAGTATGAATGAATATGTAAAAATTGATAATTTTTTTTTTTTTTTTTTTTTTAGATATCATTTTGATTCTATTGCTTCAGATAACGACGCTGAAAATTTTAATACTATACACCAAATTACTCAATTAACTTCACAAGAAATTCCAAATCTTCCGTAAGTAAATGAATTATTTTTTTTAATAATAACAATTTTCTTCTAATTAAATTTTTTTTTAATTCATATTAGATCCGATACACCGATGTACTTTTGTACAGGTCAACAATCCGTCGCAAAATTCAATGAAAAAGATCCAAGTGCTCGTAATCTAGTAAACATTTATATGGCTTTATTTAGATTTCCAAATTACGATACTGATATAGTAATTACCTATAATATTCCAATTTTGATTGGTGCTGCTAGTAGTAGCAGGCAAACTGCACAAGAAGGGAATATTCAAGTTGGATTTGAAGAATTTAAAAGGATGTTGGCTACTTTTAAAATTAACAATTATGATTTATTTGCAGCAACGTAATTTATTTTTTTTTTTTTGATATATATATATTAGTATTTTAAATATATATATATATATATATTATCATATTATAAAATAAAAGTCAATTTATAATTTACAACATTATGAACTATTTTCCCAATGAATAACTAATGAATAACTTGGATTTAAATACCTAAATATTATTACTTCAATTAAAGAAGTAAATTTATATTATAAACCTTTTAAGAGCAAATTAAATTTATGATATTATGATACAATATAAATATAAGACATTAAAATTAGGACAAGTTCATATTGACTGACTATCGAATAACCAAAAGAATTAAACTGCATGAGGTAACAAGCAAATGCATATAGGGCTGTATCATTTGATATTGAATTTTGCGACTCGTAAAATATTCGTGCTGCAAGATAATAATTATGACAGACCTTGTAAATAAGTATATACTGTATATAAAATTATTGTAATATGATAACCATTCATTCCTTACATTTAATAAAAACTAATAATCAAATAAAAACATAAAGTACATATTATATGTTAAGGCATCGATTTATATTAATAAACTATTTTTTAGATGTAGGAAATAACGATTTGTAACGAAATTGGCAAAGTAGTGTCAGTTACAGTTATTTCGTCGTCCTGCTTCACCATTTCTATTAACTTCTTTTCCAGATTCGGTCTAGTCTTTTGTTCAAAGAAAGGCGGTGATTGCCAATAAATTTTTTCATTGGTATTGGCGTGCGATAAACTTGGTTTTTTAAGTTGACTGTCAAATATAAGAAATAAATATATGTATATAAATACACATTATTATTCAAAAGAATTAAATATGAATTAAAATTCAAAAATACTTACATATCTTGTTTCTCCTGTAGATATTCGATAAAATCTTCAACAGTTATTTCCTTGCTAACCTCCATTGAGACACGTTCATTACCACATACGGGACAATCTGGTTTCTTTTGATGCTCAAACGTATAAGTGTATAATCCTTCATTGCCAGTGTACATCATGTAATTGTTAAGATATGGCTGAGCGTTGGTGATAAGTTTGAATGCTTCGTTACAGCATGAGGCTAACATAGTAAAAACAAAAAAAAATTATATATCGACGCATGTTCAAAATAAAAACGACATTCGTTAGATTTATACCTGCAATTATAGCATTTGTAGAAGCGATTGCTGGAATGATATTTTTTACAACACCCTGAGTGAGCGAGTAAGTAACACCTGTAATGTTAAATTCTTTCGCTCTTTTCAATGCTGTCTCGTATAACCATTGTATATGCGTTGGTTCATCCGTGTCCATTTTAATATCTAAGAATATCAAAAAGCGCATATTCAAATTAATCATAATCAATTAATTAATCATTAATTAAATAATTAAATTAATAAAATATAACCTGATCGTTCTTTTGGCCATTGTATGACAGATGCCCACTCAATACAATGTTCAGGCAATCTTGGTGTATTAGCAATAGTACAAATAGGGAAAGTCCTTTGTTTACTTAACATGTCAAGAGAACACTCATAACATGATGTTATAGTAGGAATGATGACTCTAGCTTGACCCTTAAAACCTAATTAAGTAAATAATTCAATTAATTCAATTAATAATTTGTGATATTAATGAGACATTTAAAGTTTTATATTTCTTACCTTCAGTTCCTCCGTCAACCAATACTCTAATTCGTTCCGGTTCACCATCGACAAGATTCACGAGAGTAGCATTTATCCACCTACGCGCGTCAACGGAATCTAAGCCACAGATAATAAGTTGATATCCAAGATAGTAATCATCGTCTTTATCTTGAATCTTTCCATGATAACTAAATTACGAAATAAATTACAAAATCACGTTTTTTAGAAACAGAGATTTAATTCTAAGACAATACTTACTAGGTAACTTTTACATCAGTAGCACGTTTCATGATAAATTCTGCAGCTACTTTTGCTTTTGGTTTACCAACGTCTGAGGGTCTAATATGAGACAATTATAATTAATTAGATAATATAAAATATTAAAATCAATCAAATATATAAATACCTAAAAAGAAATTGTCTATTTAAATTTGAAAGATCAATAGTGTCCATATCTATCACTTCGATGTTTTTAAAACCAGAAAGTGCCAAATTTTTGAGTATTTCACATCCTAATCCGCCAGCTCCAATGACAAGAACTTTACAAGTATTGAGTAAAATTTCCTATGTTTGAAAAGTAAGTAGTTAGAAAAGTTAATTGATCTATAAATATAGTGATAAAAAGGGAAAACTACCGAGAAAAAACACGTAGGAAAATAAAACTAGAGTCCAGTACTTCGCCGTGACCAGGAGTAAAACTTGGATCAGCAAAGGGACCACGTCTATCTAAAATTTTGTAAAGATGGGACCAACGATCAGGACATTTCTTATTTGTTTGCTCTAAACCGTCTTGAGGCGTAGGAACGTCGGTTTGCATTTGAATTTCGGCCATCGCTTAAAATTATAACAAATAGGATAGCAGAAGCTTGTAGAAATAAATATCCGATAAAATATAAATTTCATTCCACGTGACTTATCAGGACTTTCGAGCATCTATTGGTTAATATTAAAAAAAGTTATAACTATCTGCTATGATATATAACGTGTAATTACAACACATTATTTATATTATTAAAATCTAATCTAAATAACTATGGAAATTTCTCTAGTATAATATAGTACCTTTAGCTCGATTTCATTAATATGTTTATAAAAGAATAATAAGTTAGACGCGATTTATATAGTGAAACATGGTTATTTTAATTGATCAGATTATAAATAAATTTTCTCAATCAGCTAATAAGTCTGATTAAAGTGATAATAGTAAACTATAATAATCTATTTTTTCTTATAATTGATTTTTTTCCTTTTTCATCCTTTTATTTTTCATCATACATACATTTTATAAAATAAATAAATATAAATATAAATAAATAATAAAAATTTTACTTTTAATTTATATTACATTAGTTGTAAATGCAAAATTTCAAATACAAAAAGAACTTGAAGTTCATTTAAAATGGTAAAACTTGATTTAATAGGTAAATATTTAATACTAGTTTAAAATTAGAGTAAAGTATTGAATTAGAATATAATGTTAATTTAAAATTAAGTATAGAATTTTGAAATATGAAATTAGATTTAAGAATAAAAATAGAATTGAAATAAAATATGGAATATAGAATTAGATTTATTAAATATTTATTAATTATACTTATCAAATGCAAAATATATTGAAACTTATAAATATTAAATTTTTTTTTTTTAATTGTAATGTATTTATAGGTTTATTAGAACCCTGGATAATTATAATTGTGGTCATATCTTACTATGTTTTAAACTTTATTTTTCTTTTAACATGTAATTTTATTAAGTTAATATTATTTTTTACTATAGAAAAAAAATGTTTCTTTTGAAGAGAAGAATCTTTTGATACCAAAATCTTGTAAATCTACTGATTAGAATTTGAGATAAGTATCGTTATACAGGCAAAATTTAGCAAAAAAATATACGCTTTTTCACCATTGGTATACATAGAAATATACAAAAAAATAAAAATTACTATTATTAAATATTACTTTTTAAGTAACAAAATTATAGATAATATGAGGGCAATTATTATTACAAAGTTTTGTATCTATAGCTTTAAAAGTAAGTTCAGGATGACAAGAGTAAATTTTTAGCATAGAAGATATGACCTTAATTATAATTGTTCAGGGTCCTGGTTTATTAATATATTATTATATAAGGTATAAAACTAAGAATTAATCTGCTATTTAGACTTTATTTACTTTTTCAATAAAATTGATTAATAGATAATTTTAATCCTATTACAAAATAAAAAAAAATTAATTTAAAGAATTGTTTATTTATAAAAATATATAATTTGATTATTAAAAAATAACTTATATATTAAAAGTCAGCTATTTTTTTGTAAGAATCCTTTTATAAAATATAAGTTTTATATAAAAGTAAATGTGTAGTAAAATCTAATAAATATATAAAAATAAAATAAAATAAAAAATAATTTATATAAAATAAAATCTATTTAATAAATAAATAAAATAAAATAAAAATAAAATAAGTTTGTCAAATACTATATTTATCATGATCCTTTTTTTACCTCAAATTTTGATATATAGAAATTATTAAAAATAAAACTGTATAAATTATTCAAAAATCATTTAAAAATAAATTTAAGAGTATTATCATATCATATAAATTTTATATTGATTAATATAGCAAATTTATATAGCAAATTTCTGTATAATATAAATTTCTGTAATATTTAATATAAAAGAATAAGATTTATATAGTTAAAAAGCTATGCTTTTGAACTTTATTTACTAACTTTAAAAGATTTATTTTTTTAAAAAAAAGTCTTTTAATGAATAGAAATATATGTTTTAAATTTTATTGGTTATTAGTATCTTAATTAGTTATTAATAACACATAATATCATATAAGATTTATTATGTAAACAAAAACAATTTGCCAAATGATATATATAAAAAAATCACATGATATATAATACCCTTAAAATTAATTTCATAAAATTAGATAAATATGCAACTAAATATTATACTGCTAAAATCCTTTAGTTTCTCTAGCAACTTTATATAACTTATTAAAATTTTAAAGTAATCAATAGTAAAATGTTAAATTTTTAGCAAATTTATCTAATATAAAATGGATAATTATTGTCCAGACTCCAGAGCAAAGTGAAGGATTATATATATTTACACACTATAAAAAATAATCACTTTCATATGATTCATACAATAAAATCACAAATTTTAATTATATTTTCATTCTGGATTTACAATAGCTTCCATTTTCAATATAAAGTAAATTAACAAATTTTTTTCCATTAAATTTAATTTTAAGTAATCAGCATGAAAATTTACTTTTTTGGGAATGTCTAAAGTAAAGCAGGTTTGGCCAGCATTATTACGGCATTAAGAAGCCATATAACTGAAAAATTTCTAAGTCCCCATAATTACTTAGTAAAAATGTAAAAAACTGGGCAGGATACTAGTGACAAAAATTTTACTATAATCATGTGATTTTAGATACTGTGTAATCTTACCCAGTATCACCGTCGCAAAAGTATTGGACTTGATCCTTCTGGAGGTGTCATCTTGACCCGCTGCATGCATGTCGTCGATCACATATATTTTACAATACTCCATGAATAAGATCGACAACGTGCATGCAGGAGGGTCAAGTTAGCACTGCATCACATGTCAAGTCTGATACTTTTGCATCACCGTCACTTTTCTTCTCTCATGTGATCATAATAAAAAAATTTGTTACACAGTATCATACCCTCTGCGTTTCGCATCCCATTTTGTGGGCGCGGTTTTTTTGTATCATGGGGGTGACAAATAAATTTTTGACACTAAAAAAAAACTAAGTCCCTCAGATACTTAATGTTTTTGAACTCGTGGCTGCACATGATCATGTGACACTTAAATGTCACTTGTTCCTTATATGGCGAAGATCGACACAAACCGCGCCCACAAAACTTGCGTGCCTGCGGTTCCCTTTTTCATAAGACGTGTAAAAAATTATTTTTCACATCTTATTCGTCTTCTTAATTCAGTAATGCCGGCTCACGTGCGGGGTGGTGCGGCAGAAAAGTGACGGGTAAATCACTGTGTACAAATAGTTACGAATAGAAATTGTATTATATAATTTTAAAGAAGACATCTGTCTGTCATCTGCACTCTGCAGGCTGGGTAATAAACTAATAATGTGTCATCATCTTTTCGTATTATATACAAAAAATGATTTTTTTTTTCATCCTCACTGAAAGTATAAGAAATTTCAATTTACGCGTGCAATGGTGCAAATAATGTTATATATTGAAAAATCAATCAATCATTGGTATTTACCTTTTATCACGGGTGCAAATTTCGCCTGTACCCGGGGCCCGGGAGTACATTACATGGGTGGTTTGGTACTAATACATGGAAGACTATGATATAATACAAATTACATAATTATTACTTTACAGTTAATTTTCCGGAGCGTAGCGAAGGACTTTCTATTGTAGCTATGTAGAGCACTTATAACGAACTAACGATTTTGGATTAACCCATGAAATTTTCCTTCTGTCCATCTGTCCATCCGCTGACGTCACCTCACTAATTACCCCGCTTTTTCCTTTCTTGATTATGTCTTGTTTCATTGATGATTTTGTATTGATTTTGTAACACTGCTTATTTTATTTGGTATTACGTGCTTTCATATTATGCATATCCGATATTATGCTATTTTTCGTAATTTTTTTTTTTAATAAAAAAAGATACTGAGTAAATAAGCGCGACGGACTTTAACGGTTTCTGTTTTCCTAGTTATTTTATTGTTTACCCATTGGAAATTTATTTTACAGAATCATTAAGATCAGTTCATAACATATAAAGCAAAAACTGTATGTAATAAACTGTATAAATTTGAGAGGTCTTTCACTCTCGAACAAAACATGTAGGAATTGCTTGAAAATGTGATTATGCAAAGAAGCAGGAATTTTATTAAAAATCAACAGCATATTTTGTTAACGGCAGATCATTTTCCCAAAGGTAAACACCTGACCCGCAATTATTACTAGGTCGGCGTTATTTTTAAGAGTTTTCAATCATGTTTTATGCAAAATATGATGTGATATAGACAAAATTAGTTTACAAGTTATCCCGGTTTTTTTATTAGATAATTAAAAAAGAGAAAAAAATATAAAATATAAAAAAGAAATTATGTACAAATCAATATATTAAATACATCTGAAATAAGAAAACGTAATAAATAACGCTTAAGATTAAATATTTTTTGATAAATCTCTTGCTTGTGACATGATTTGTCTTACTTCTTCGTTCGTTAGTACACGAGTATCATCGTACCATGAAGCTAAAATATTAAATAAACAAGTGAGTATTTTTTTTTTTCAAATGATAGAAAATATTTCAACATACCAACTGTACCAACAACTTGTGGGCATAGAACAGCAATAGCATCTTCAGTTTCTTTCATAAACATTTTCTATATTTCAAGGAAGAACAAGATAAATCAATATTTGATTCATTTAAAAGTTTCTACAAATTATAAATATTGATACCTGAGCATCTGATCCCATAATACCGGCGACTAACACAATTTTACCACGATAACCCAAAATTTTTTTCAGTATGGCAATAGCATTACGAGCATTTTGTCCAGATTGAATACCATCAGTACATAAAATCAATGTAGCATTTTCAGAAGCAGGTAAAGGCAAATTTAGCGGACAACATTCTTTTTTAAGGGTTTCAAGCGCAATTCGCTAAATATTTTTTAAAAGAAAAATTCTTATTATCTATATCTAACTGATCCGCAGCATGCATAAATGGGCAATCCGGTCTTACCTCTTTAGCTATTAAATCATTAATAGTTTCTTTCGGAATATCACAACCCCTTTATTATTATAAAGATTATTAATCACTTTATAAAATGTCATTACATATCATTATGTCATTCATTACCTGATGATTTGTTCCTTTAATAGTGGTTGATCAGATTTATCAGTGATAGCACCAACTGTCATACCATCGAATTGAAAAGAACTCACTAGAAATAAATCTAAAGGTAATTCTAATTCTTTGGCAATCTCGTGGGCCAGGGCCGTAGCAGTTGGTTTAATAGAGAGGACGACTAAGAGGAAATAAAATTTATTTTGTTAGTCTGATTATTTTAATTTTTATTTAGTCACTTTGATATGAAAGAAACATACCAGTATCAGGGTTACGAGCGTAATATTTTATTAGTTTGGCTAGCATTACACCGGTCTCCTCTCTTGAAGAAAAATAAGGATTTACATAAGCTCTTGAAATTGGAAGAGACATCCTATGACGTTTATAAAGTGAATTACGGGGAGAGTTTGGAGCTGATAATGATTTTTCGGCCAACATTTTCGGATTTTTTTTTCTTTAAGAAAATTTGTTAAAAAAATTAAATTTTTTTTTTAAAAAAAGGCCATGATGGTGTAAAATTTCGGACCTATTTATATTTAAGAAACTATATAAATTCATAAGATAGCAGTTGTGAAAATCTTTCGATGGCGCGGGAGTATTTTTTTAGTTAGTAATAAATTGGTGTAACTTTAGATAAGATTATGCAAGAAAATTTGATAACCACCAAACAACAAGCTCCGAAAGTATTTAAACTCAGCCATTTATTGAAATCTATATAAAGCATATCTCAAATTAAACCAAACAAAAGCTTTCTGATCATCTTATCACAATCCATCAGTGACGAAAATAATTACATATTATTCTAAATTTGGTAAACTTTATCGATAAAAAAGTTTACTTGTAAGAATCCCTTTGCTTACTATTTTTAGTTTCTTTTGATCTGGGGAAATATGTAAATCGAATGTTGCAACAATGAAATAATTTTTATCTAAGTTTTATTTTTTATTTTATATTGATATGGATACGGTATGATTTTCTTCACTTCTTAAAATATTAACGTAGCGTTTAACTAAAAATCTTCAAAGGTTTAAATTCAACAATGTTTTGTATGAGGATTAGGGGTATGTTACTCAAATGACTTCTTTTAAAGGGGAATTAACAGATATTATACAAGTTCATATGACGAAAGATAACAAATTTACTACTTTTTTTTTGCAAGAAACTTATACATAAAATTGTTGTACGAATTCATCAGACTTTTATTTTTCAAGTAAAAGTCCCGGTTTATCATAAAACGGTTTAAGGGATTCCAACATCAACTGCCCACTTATACTTCTAATATTTCCCACGCCTAAATATCGTTCCATATGGAAAACTTGAATCAAATACTTAACTGGAAATTTCACCCGCACATCACTTGTAGCATACGATAATTATGATGACTTTACGAATCAATTATAGTCATATTAATTTTTGTTAATTCGCACATCTACCCCATTCTTGTGGGGGAGAAACTGGGGGTGGCTAAACTCGGTTTTCATATTTTCATATCAAACCACAAATTCTAGATCATCGTTTATCATACAGTAATTAGTTATTACAAAACACATCCCCCGGGTGGACGTTTCCGCTTAAATGCGTTTTAACATCTGATATAAGAAAATTTTCCATTTCTAATTATATCGTTTTTTGGAAGGTTCCACTGAATTATATAACAGATAACAATTAAAAATTCAAATAACTAAATTTAAGTTAAACATTAACAGATGAATTTTGCTAATTTGCCCCCTTGGGTTAAATCACCCCTCTAAGATTTATATTTTATATCAATAATTATTTGTGTTATTATTCATTTCACTTTATATAAATTTTATTTATTTGGATATTATAAAGTATAATTACCAAGTTTTCTTACATTTTTGACAATGTCTCTTGTTTTTGATTGTGACTATAATTTACATTTTAATTTTGGCAAAATTATATAATTATATAAAATTTACTAGTAGGTTAAATTACTTAGATTAAATCACTTAAGGTTAAACTTAGTTTTATACTTAACAGATTATATTAATAATTCTTTAAATAATTTAAACTTTGAATTTTTCCTTTTTTTTAGTATTTAAAGATATATTAACATTTCAGATAAATAATAATTTAAGATTAATTGACTAATATAATTTTGCCCAAATTTCCAAAAATAAATGTAAAATCAAAAGCATAAGAGACATTATCAAAAATGTAAGAAAACTTGGTCATTATATTTTATAATGTCTAATGAAAATTTTTAAAAAATGATTGTAATATTTTGGCAAAAAATCATGTAAAATATAAATGTTTATCAAAATTAGTGAATTTATCACATTAAAATTGTTAAAATTATTTTTCAATTTTTTATCTCCTTTTTTTTAAAAAAAAAAAATTAGCACATATTTTATTTAAAGAATATTATACTTATTCATTTAAGTAAAATTATAAATAGTTTTAGTTTTTTAGTTTACACTTTAATTTTAATTCAAATTAACTTAAGTTATCTTAAATTCTGATTTAAGTTTAGAACTTAGGTATTCTTTAAATCAAAAAATTTTTGATTTATTTTACTTAAATTAACTTGTATTGATTTAAGTTTACTTTATTTAGAATTTTGAAAAAATGTTAAAAATTTAGTATGCCATATTATGAGTGAATTTAATAAAAAAAAAAGTATTTAATATATATTTTTTCATTTGTATACAGAAACCAGTTTTTTTCTAAAATTATAATATAAATTAAATAAATCAAATAAATTAAAAAATTAAAAAATCAAAGAATTTGCAAAATAATCTACATAAAATTACTGTATCATATTTTATATTCTAACAATATATATAGATTTTCTATTATTTCAAAATTGTAATACAATTTACAAAAGATTCTTTCTTGTAGATCTTATTTCCAAAAAATTTACATAGAAAATAGAAACAGTTTTTTGATAAAAGTATTTAGGAAAAGTTAATGTAAGTAAAAAATAAACATCATTTTTAAAGAGTTTTCAATCTTACCTTTCCAACTATGTTAATAGCAAACATAGCTGTTGAATATTTTACTGCAAAAGTTAAGAAAAAAGTTAAAGTACAACTTTACTGTTCAAAAAATATTGACCTATTTATAGGGTAAGTTTAGTTACATACTGAAAGTCTTTTTAGAAAAACAGCACCAAATTTTTTTAACACCTGTATCTTTTACTGGTGATAAAAAAGAATAACTTTATTAAACCTTTTTGCTAGTATTATAAACTGAAGTTTTTCAAAGTACAATTATATATGGCTGCTTTCAAATAAACTATTCTGAATATTACCAGAGTTTTCTAACAAAACCGAAACAACAAAAAGAGCTAATAGGAGACATGACTAATATAAACTTTACTCTGGATCGTAATAACACAAATTTAACTGATAATAATTCGGACTTATTAGATCCAGTAATTTTTGATAACACATTGCATCAATCATAATAAGTACTATCTTTTATAACAGAATCAAAAAACTTAAGTAAAAAGCTAAGACTGCTGATTTTTTTATTAATAAAGTCTTTCTAGATTAGAAAAAGCTTTTCTTGTAAAATAACTTTGAAGATTTGGAGGTAAATGGATTAGTATCTAAGTTGAAATAACCTTTTACTATAAAGAAAAAGAAAACAAAAAATATTAACTCTATAAAAATATTTTTGTCAAAATATACTTAAAATGAACTTAAAATTTTATTTTATACTTAAAATATATTGAAATAGACAAAAATTAAATATTATTTAAGTATAATTTAAGTATATAATAATAAAGCTCTAAACGGTTTAAGCTAAACTGGAGAACTGATCCAAAACTGGCTTAAAATTCAGTTCAGTTCAGTTCAGGTATTAGAACTGAAAAACTGGCGGTTTGATAGGATCCCGCTTACTTATAATAAATTTTATTGTAAAAAATTAACCCTTTACTAATAGTTTTTACCTTACTTTTTTCTTAAATTCCATTGATTAATTAGCTAAAAAGGAAAAAATCATAATAATGAAATATAAAATTTTCTTTTATAGTAGGATCTGCAACGAATTTTATATATAATTTTTACCTTAGGCCTAGGAGTGACCTATTTTATAAGTAAGCAGGATCCTGGTTTGATTCAATTTAATTTGATTTTTTTATAAAAATATGAAAAATCAAATAGCTGTCCATCTAGTGATTATACAAAGTCAAGCCATATATCATTAGATTTATTTCAACAAAATGCATCAAATAGTAGTAAGATCACATCTTTAGCATTGATAAATCACAAGTTAACCCATGTTAAATAATTTATAAATAATTGGAATTAGTAAGCTATCTATCAGTGCTAGAAACATGATCTTAGTACTATTTAACGCGTCTTAGTAAGACAAATTCAATGAATATTAATTCGTCTATGTACAATTACTGAATGGCGAATAATGTCAAGTTTCATATTTTTTAAAAATTTTTAAGCGTTAAAAATTAAAAATTCTAATACATGAATTTATTCATCATCTAATAGTTATACAAATATGAATTAGAACTCATTGGATTCATCTCAATGAGATGATTCAAATAGTGGTAAGATCATATCTCTAGCATTAATAAATAGCTTGCTAATGCCAATTTTTTATAAATTATTTAGCGTGAATTAACTTATGATCTATTAATACTAGAAATATGATCTCATCACCATTCGACTCATTTTATCAAGACAAATCCAATAAATCCTAATTCATATTTATATGACTATTGGATGACGAATAAATTCATATATCAGAATTTTTAATTTTTAACACTTAAAAATTTTAAAAAAATGGGAAACTTGACATTATTTGCCATCTAGTGATCAAACAAATTAATATTCATTGGATTTATCTCACTGAGATGCATCATATGGTGCTAAAATCATGCCTCTAGTACTGATATATAGCTTGTTAATTCCAATTATTTATAAATCATTTAGCGTGGATGATTAACTTGTGATCTATCAATGCTATCTTACTATCATTCAATACGTCTTATTGAGACGAATCCAATGATATATACTAACTCGATTTTGTATGATCACTAGATAGACGGCTATTCGATTTTTCACATTTTTATAAAAATCAGATTAAACTGAACTAAACTGCCAGTTTATCAGTTCAGTTCTTAGACTCTAATCTAAACCGTTTATAATTTGGACCAAATTGACCTATTCAGAGCTTTATATAATAATATATTTAAAATATTCTTATTTTAAATATCCTTAAAATATACTAAAATGGACAAAATTTAAGTATAAATTAAATATATTTTAAGTATATAATTTAATTCAAATTTTGTAAAAATTACAAAATAAAAAAATCAAATATATTTTAAATATATTTTAAGTAAAATTTTTTTTTATAAAGTAAAGATATTGAGAAAAAGATCACGTTGTCACCCCCGTCTGCCACCCGGCGGTAAACAAAGTTCCCTGCTTCTGTTATATGTGCTCTCAGCGAAACATTAATCTTCTTGCTTGGTTTAGTTTTAAATCTTTAACTCAATTTTCATCATTTTCTAATTCTTTATATTCATATTTACTTCATCATTTGAATACTTATTTAACATTAATTAAAACTTAGGTGAACCATAAGTATATTCAAAATAATTAACATTTTTACAAACATTTATGAACCCTTCACCCATATGATTGTGTACATTCCGACTAACCGAACTATTATGTTCGTGCGTTTTTCATATATCAAATGGTGAAGGAACTCATTATTTAACATACTTTTTCATCATAAGAAAACAGTATAAAAGAGTCGATAATCATTAATTAATAGGTAAAAAGTACTTTATTTATATTTTGATCTTCATAAAATTCACAACCAACTAAATTACCTAAAATTCAAAATCCTTACTTGCGACTGTGGAATTCACTTTCCATTCCGCTCCTATTTAAACCAACTTTCTTATTCTTTCTTTTCTTACTTCTTATTTCTTTCTAATATTTTATGTTATGTGTTATCTTTTATACGCTATCTTGTATGCTATATTTTATACATGATCTTTTCTATATGCTATTTTATATACTATTTTATATGTTATCTTTTCTATCTTTCAAATATTACATCGTAAAGAAATAATTTATAATCCATCTTTTGTGGCTGTGATATCTTTTATTTTATCTTATCTTTAAAATAACATAATCTTTAAAATATTATATCATAAAGAAATAATCCATCTTTTGTGGCTGTGCTATCTTTTTGTATCATCTTTTCATATTATCTTTTATATTATCTTTTCATACTGTCCCATAATCTATTTTTTGTGGCTTATAGTTCCTCCTCCTAATTATTCCTGTTGATAAATTTGATAAACTGGTCGCTAAGCTGCATCAATCGACCCTCTGATTGATCTATTGGTTCGTCATTAATCATTTAATAAACATTACATCATGTAGATCATTCCTTCTCCTAAACATTTATCCTTTCTGGCTAATTATTTATCTGATTATGTGACTTTCTATTCTATTAAGTTCGATATCCATGGTTACAACGTATGTAATAACTAAATATCAACTAATAGGATTGGCATTAGCTTTAGTTAATGATATCATAATATATGATATTTCTTCAATCTGAAAAAATATTGACTTGTTACATCACCTGGAAATTTGGGTAAAATTATCTCCATAAAGATTAATTGGCAAAAAAAACTTTGCAAACTTATATAGGATAATAGAGTTTGAACAGTATTATTAGGGAATATTTCAGTAAATTGGTTTTTAACCACCTGGTCTCTTCATAAAAGAAAAAAAAGAAAAAGATTTCAAGTAATTCTTTTTAATATATCAAAGTCAATAATAGCTGCTTTACTATTTTTTAACAATTAAACCTATTTAACTTTATTGGTAATAAGCAGTTTTAAAGTCTTTAAAGTTATTACAACTGAAAAATGAAAGCATAAACTTGTAATTTATCTGGAAAAATAGGAAAAGATTTTAATAATATTATAGGAAAAAATTATAAAATTGATAGCAAAAATTTAGATTGATACTACTATAGGATACTGTTTACTTATAATAAAAATCACTGTAGAAAATTAACCCTTTGCTAATGATTTTTACCTTACTTTTTTTTTAAATTTTATTGGTTAATTAAGAACCCTACTTACTTATCAGTATAATAAAGATCACTGTAGAAAATTAGCCTTTTACTAATAGTTTTTACCTTACATTTTTCTTAAATTTTATTGGTTAATTAGTTAAAAAAAAAAAAAATCATAATAATGTAATATAAATTTTCTTTTATAGTTATAAAAAAATATAACTAATTTACATTTAGGATGATTTTAATTATTTTCACCTAAGTGATTTAACCTGGTAATTTTATATAATTTTAATATAATTCAGGTAAAATCACCTGATTAATTTTATTGATATAGTTTAATTATAATAATCTATATGAATGTTGCTGACTTGGCCAAATCTTTGAAAAAACTTGTTGTTACCTTGCCTGATCACCAGCGTTGAGGTGCAGCAACATTGATTAGAAGGAGAAAAAAATGAAACATACATCAACTATGAAACTTTAAAACTATTAATAAAACCATTTATAATGGAAAATATTTTAAACTCAAATTTTTTTTATAGTCCCGATATGTTATTTAACTCTTATTATGATTCTTCATATAGTGGTTCAGACTTACTTAATGGTTATTAATACAAATCTTCTGGTCTACCGATATTTGAATTTTATGGTTCTCCATATGATTCTTCTGATTTATTTCTTAAAGATTATGATATACTTAATAAAACCCAAATAGGAAATGTAAGAAGAATAGATGTTTCAGTAAATGAGGATATAAATAGGTATAATTTTCCAGAAAATAAAAAAATAAATAGCCACTGGTATGATGTTTTAGATGATGAAGATAGAAATTTTAATCATTAAGAACGGGAATATGATGATAGCGAGTATGAGGAAGAAGAGAATAGATTAGAATTAAATCAAAGGATGGAATTTGAAACATGGGAATTTGCTGAATTATACCTTAATGAATATGCAAAGCAACAGGAATTTTCTTTTTGTAAAAAAAAATGTATACTGGATCCAACTGACAGTACAATAACAAGACATAGAATGTATGAATGTTCATATACTTGAACTCATGAGATCCAAAAGGTTATTTTAGAAGAAAATAAAAGAAATAGAGATTCCGAAATGATTGGATGTCTTTGGCATATTAATCTTCTTTTCCTAAATCTAGAAATGGTGTTTGTATTAATAGTTAGTTGGAATACATAATCATAATATGAAACTTTGCATTACTGAGATAGCCCCAAAATTCTGAAAATTGACGGATAAAATGCTTGAGAAAGTAATGTTTTGGACGATTGAAGGAAGATTAGGTATATCAACTTAATATAACTAAGGTTGCTTGCTGAAACTAGGAGGTTTTGGCGGAATGGCGTATGCGAAACTGCCAAAACTAGTTTCGCAAAATTGGTCTAAAATGTTGAAATGCCGTAACTGCCAAAACCTACCGAAACTGTCTAAGCTGCCGTAACTATTTTGGCGTAATACTTCATATGATATACATATAGTTTCGGTAACATTATGAATTATGATTAATTTCGGCATGGATTTTTTTTTGATGCAATGCCGTATTCAGCTGTATTGAATTTATATAGACGTAATTGCCAAAATTTGCCGAATTTATCGAATTGTCAATGATTTATGCCAATCTGGCACAGGAAAGTTAGATTATCAGACAGATTGCATAGTACAAATCATCTGATGATCTCTTTTTTCTTGTATTGAGGTTTCCGGACAAAAATTATGAGGTAAAGAACTAAAGAGGGTCCGGACAGGAAGTTTTTATTTAAAAAATGTAATAGTTTATTTTTCATTTTGTAGGGTTGCCAGACAAAAAGCACGACCGGACTTTTGAAGTAAGAAAGGACCGGAAAAGAGTCCATTTTAATAAATTTATTTATTTTTTCTTTATTGTAAGGTTGCCGGACGAAAAACATGACCGGACTTTGGAAATGAGGTAAGGAAGGGTTGAGGGAAAGATTTTTCGTTGTTTTTTATTTTAATAAATTTAACTAATTTATTTTTTTCTTTTTTGTAGTGTTGCCGGACGAAAAATATGACC